ATGTAGTAAGATAAGAAAAAATTAGGCTAGACAATTGTGTTATTTTATGTTTTCCTCTAGGTCTTGATAATTGCAAGCAGGTGTTTCAAAGAACTTTTATTATAAAAGCTTTTTTATATGAATATTTTTACACAAATACAAAAAAATTCTTCATATCACAATAATACTTATTCTATAAATCTAAATTTTAACAATAATATTAAAAAATTAGTTCCAACCTTAAAAGATAAATTATGTTATATTATTCACTATAGAAACTTAAAATATTATCTAAAGAAAGGTTTAATTTTTAAAAAATTTATAGAATACTTTCTTTTAAACAAGCGCTTTACTTAAAACCATATATATTTTTTTAATAATGAAAAACGAAAACTTAGCAAAAGTCAATTCGACAAAAACTTTTAAATTAATGAACAATAGCTTCTATAGTAAAGGTGCGTAAAAAAATTAATTTAAAAGCTGGATTGAATAAAGACGAATGTAAAAAATATCTAAACGATCCTGCGCTAGAGAGTTTCTAAATAATCAACGAAGACTGTAGTGTTTTTAGATTAAAGAGAACAAATTTATTGCTCGATAAACCATTATACATAGGTTTTTGTATTGTAGAGTCGAGTACACTACATATGTAACAAATATATAACGAAGTATTTAAAAATTATTATAAAGATAGGATTAAACTTTTGTATACAGATACCAATTCTTTATTTTTAGAAATTTACACAAACGATATTTACGACAATTTTAAACACAATCTTCCAAACATATTTGATTTTAGTAATTATCCTCTAGACCAGTGTTTCTCAACCTCTAATGAATCGTCGCCCCCCTTCAATGAAACCATTATGTAGTATCATCCCCTTCACTTCAAAATTCCGATGCCGAGGGACAAGGCTAATGCCAAATTCGTACTGCATTGAACAGACTAGTGACTAGTATAATGTTATTTGTTTAATTATTGTACGATGTAACAAATAAAATATCTAATTATTCTTAATATAATGTTTTACTATATCACCCAGAAAATTGTTTTTTGCTCCCCAAAATATAAATTGTTACAAATCACCCTCTCAACATGGAAAAACGCCCACATGGGGGCGATATCGCCCCTGATGAGAAACATTGCTCTAGATCATCCATTATACAGTGAAGAAAATAAAAACATTAGGATTTTTCAAAGATGAAGCAAAGTCGTTAGCAATATCAGAATTTGTAGGTTTAAAAGCTAAAATGTATTCGATTTCTGGACAGCGTTATGAGAAAAAAATGGCAAAAGGTATAAATAAATCAGTTGTTAAATCAACTTTTTATCACAAGCTATATAAAACTACTCTATTTAAAAAAACAACAACTTCGTCATAACCAAACTCAAATAGTTAGTAAAAATCACGTGATCATGACTCAATTTCAAAATAAAATATCTCTTTCCACTTTTTACGATAACAAATACATTTTAAGTAACAGAATAGATACTTTATCTTATGGTCATTACTCTATTTCTTCATAGACATTTTTTCAATCCATTTTTTAATACTTTAATATTATTGTATTTTATTTTGTATTAATTTTATATATTATTGTATTCATTATTTTAAAATTCTTAAATGAAAATGTAATATTTTTAAATATTATTATTGTAATCGTTTATTATTATTGTAACCGTTTTTTATCTCCAATAAAAGAGAGAGAGAGAGAGTTGTTGTTGTCATTTATTTAATCACCATCGCGACATAAAAAAAAACTAGGGAGTACTAAACACAATAAATGCCGTAAAAAAAATCAATAAATAACGAAATAGCAAATAGCATGATCCGATTAGTGACAGTACATGTTATTTGTTATTTCTTTTAACATCTAATTTCGAAGGAAAAAAATATATTAAAATTTAAAAAACAAATGTTATTTAATATATTTGTTCCCAGATGGCACCGCAATGATCACTTGCATTTTAAAAAAATGTTACTTCTGTAATCACTTGTATAAAAAAAATAAATATTAGTTCTCTTATCTGAACAAAATTTAAAACATATAGAACAATTTTAAAAAATGTTTGCAATTATTATTAAAATATCAGAAATTAATATTTTGGAATCTAAGAATTGTTTTTTGAAGCATTGCATCTGTACTGCCGTTATTAAACCATTTACAATATCTTTAGTCTTGCCGTCTAAAATATTAGAAACATCTTATAACAGAGTGATTTATTCCAGAAATGCTCGTTCAAATCGTGCAGAAAAGTATAACCGAAGGGGCATCGAAAATGGGTGTGGTTTCGACTCCTATGAGAGTTTATGGGATAGTAATTATCTCAGAATCTCCCAAGCGATTTTAAAATTATGCCAGATTTTAGCCCCTGCTCGATGTCTTTCCCTCAAAACGATGAGAGTTTCTGGGATAAAAGTTAAAAACCTTTAAAAGTTTAACAAATTATCCCAGAGTCTCTCATATATATACTACTAATAAATAATACTCACAATGAATTTAAAATCTAATTTATATAAAACATGTTATTTAAAATAATTTTAATACTCACCATCATGACTTTGAAAGTTGATATTGCAAAAACTTGATGGTTCTAACAAACATTTATATGAAATCATACGGAAAATTTTTTGTCCGGTAAACCATCTGTAGAAAATTTTCAAATTATAAATGATAATCTTACAATTTTTAAAATTAAGAAACCTAATTTAGCTTTAGACAAACCAATTTATATAGGTTTTTGTGTATTAGAATTAAGCAAATTACATATATATAAAACATTTTATAAAATATTTAAAAACAGATATGAGAAAAATGTTCATTTATTATATACTGATACAGATTCTCCAACACTTCAAATTTATACTAATGATATTTATGAGGTTTTTAAATCGTTCCCCAATAGTTTTGATTTTAGTAACTATACGAAAACTCACAAATTATATAACAAAACAAATGACGAAATGCTGTCAAAACCGATAATTGAATTTTGTTCTCTGAAACCAAAAATGTATTCTTATATTTTTGATAAACAAAATAAAAAACCGCTAAGGAAGTAAAAAAATCTGTAGTAAAAATATTTAATCACGATAAATATAAAGAAGTTTTATTCAATACAGAGCTATTAAGACATTACCAATATGGAATTAAAAGCAAAAATCATGTAGTAACAACATATCTACAAAAATGGAAAAAAAAATTTTATTTATGATAAAAAATTCATTTTAGATAATGGAATAGATGTGCTATTGTTTGGTCATTATCATTTCTACTTTTAATTCTTACAGATATTCCAATATCATCATCATCATCATCGCAATATGGGTTTTTAATAGTATACAAAAGAGAAATTACTTATGTAATACATAGCATTTGTAGTAAAACTTATCCATGTTTAAAACTGACATATAAGGAGGCAGCATCATTAAAATTGCCGAATAATAAACCATGTGAATGTAAATTTTTCATAATAAAAAATAAAACTACATTACCAATATTCAATAAATATATTATTTTCTAGAATTTGTATATTTTAAAAAGTTATCTGTCAATGTAAAAAACCCGAAAAAAGGCTTCTACTGGAGCAGCCGGATATGATCTATTTTGTACCAACAACTTTAAAATTAATCCAAATGAACAAAAAGTAATATTTATAGATTTGGCTATTGAAATGCCAAATAACTGTTATGCTAGAATAGCTCCAAAATCTTCTGTATCTTTGAACAACATTATAATTAATACAGGAGTGATAGATTGTGACTACCGTGGAAACATTGGAGTTGTGATGTATAATTTTGGACAAGAAATTGTTACTTTTGAAACAGGAATGGCTATTGCACAAATAATTACGCACCCGACCCTTATAGAATTAGACTCATTAGACATCACTGGCAGAGATGAAAAAGACTTTGGCGACTGTAGCGAAAATTAACTTTTCTCAAAAATAATTTTGTACTCGTATTATTCTGTATGTACTCAATTCTCATTTTTTAATGTACTCAATTATTATTATTTTTATATGTATTCAAATATTCAAATAAAACAACAAATAATACTTTTTAAAAAAATTTTTTTGTAGACAATAAACCCCCAATCGACTGGGAAACTTTCTTGTCTTTGCCATTAGAACAACATACTATTCGTCGGTTTAAAAATTACATTGATTGGGATATCATCAGTCAGCGACACGATTTATCTCACACGTTTACTTCGGAATTCGCATGGAAAAATTACACATTTCCCGCCGTATTTATTTTACAATATATTAATTTTGCAAAATGGGATTTAATTTATCAATATCAGGTATTAGATAAACATTTCCTAGGCAATTTTTAGACCACCTTCATCGGAATAAAGTTGCAGAATTCCAATCTATTTCGGATGATTTTATTATGCTCTACATACATAAGTTTGATATTAAGTTTTAAAATACCAACAATTACAAACCACAACTTTATGCAAAATACAAGATTACCTAAACTGAAATTTTGTTTCTCGTTACCAAAAACTTGACAAACAATTTATTTACGATTTCCAATTTCTTGGTGTCACGTTATAAAATATCAAAAATTAGATCAAGAATACATCGTTCACAATCATGAAAATTTATTCCTATACTTACTTGCAGAAATATGTCTTACTTTAGATAAACTGAAGGAAAGGCTGAAAACACTTAAATAAACTATATTAAAAATGTTGTAATACAAATGTTGTGATGATGGTGGTGGTGTAGAATGTTTTCGTATAGACAGTCAAAAAGAACACAGTACACGCTTCTTTCTAACAATAACAACACAAAAAATAAAAACACTTTAATTTCTCCAAATCAGCGAGTGACTCTCTGGCACTCCACTACTTTTTGATAGTTACAATACTGGACCAGCCACACAGCTACTCACTTTGTTAGCTTCCTGGTCAGTACACACACTCTCTCTGACTCTCTACACACCCTCACTAGGCGGGACAATCTCCCCCACACTCCCGAGGACACCGTCACCTCACCCACCCAACATGTGTGACCAAGCTGTGGACTGTCCATCACCACCTGCCGACATCCACACACCTGACACATGTCTCACATATGTTACACTGAACTTAACATCCTCCCGCCTTGAACCTTCCAAGGTTCAACAAGTTACATACTTACAAAACAACAATTTTTTTTTTTTTTACAAAACACAATTTCAATTCTCCAAAGGTAAAACACAAATTTTCGATACACTGCGTTTAAATACACCATTTTTTGTTTTTACACTTACAACTCTTACTTTACCATCAGACCCTGGGAAAACTTCTGTAATTCTTCCCACTAACCACTTAAAGATAGGTATATTATCTTCCTTGATAATGACTAATGTCCCTATTTTAATATTTTCTCTTTCAATCATCCACTTATTCCGTTGTTGTAAATTATTTAAATATGTATTAGTCCACCGTTTCCAAATGATTTGCGTCATTTTTGTTACACGTTGCCAATGTGAAAGTCTATTATCTGATAGAGATTTGAGATCAATATCTGGTAGCGTGTCAATTGGTCTACCTATAATGAAATGAGCAGGTGTTAATACCTCAAGATCATCTGGATCCACTGATAACGGGGAAATGGGGCGACTGTTTAAAATTCCCTCGATTTGATTGGTGATGGTGAGAAACTCTTCTAATGTCAAGATTGTACCACCTACAACTCTTTTTAAGTGATACTTGAACGATTTAACTCCTGCCTCCCACAATCCACCGAAGTTTGGGGCTCTAGGGGGGTTGAAGTTCCACTGAATGGTTTCTGATGACAAATAACCAGCCAATTTTTNAATTTTTAAACTTATATACTCAACAAACTTTTAAAAATTATTTACTCAAAAAGTTAATTTTGTATGCCAATCATGTAGCCCAATCATGGAAAATTTATAAACAACAAAATTTATGTGATTAGTGTGTGTCAAACCACTACTAGTGATGTCAACAAGTTGAAAAAATATAAAAGATATATATGAAAACTTGCAAATAAAAAAATAGGTCTCCGCAAAAAAGAAGATTTTGGTAAACCAATCTGGAAGATTTTTAGATGCAATTTTAACTTCAATAATATTAGCTAAAAATTTTTTTGGATTATAAAAAAATGGCTCAACGAATGGCTGAACGGCAATAATTAAATGCTGCAACAATCGAAGGCTTGTGTTCATCTGGGAAGCACTTCTCACGGCCACTTCAGAAGCATGCAATGTTCCCACCCTCGATCTACCCGGGGTGTGGATTGCCTTGTATCAGCGCCTAAAAAACGAAATGCGCCCAACATCGTATCACCAACGCGGTAGCATCTCCATGCATGCGCCGCTAACATCGTAAAATAAAGATTCGAAATATCAAAAATCATTCGCACGTTCGTAACGGAATTTCCGGACGCTTGTTTGAATTTAAATATTATGTTCTTTTGGAACATCCTGCACGTTTGTTTTCTTAAAAACTTGTTCTTTTCGCCTGAAGACGACGGTTATACACACGTCGAAAGTACTTGTGTGAATACTAAAGAAGTTTATTAACGCCGTACTCAGTGAATTTGTACCCAGAAGCTAGACTTCTTTAAAACTATTCCAATGCAGTTAGCAGTAGAAAGTTCTACCCCCCAGTATCCTTTTTCCAGTAGCCTCAGTAACGGATCAAACATATCCTATAGAATTTTTAATCCCCGGTTCGAGTGAAAGCTTAATAGATTTGAGTAGTATTTCGCTTAGTAAGGGATAATTGAGCATTAAATGAAATGGAACATCTACTTTGGATACCGATCTCGTTACTCCAGTAAATAATTTATTGCATAGTATGTTTTCACGATGCACCACTTTGTTTAATGATAAATTATTATCGACACATATAAACTATTCCTATAAGGCGATAATGATGCTCTATTATTTTCGTCTGAACAAGCGCAAAAAACTTATTTAACTAGTTCTTTTTTCTACAAAGATACCGCTGGATTTTTAAACGAAACCGATCCAATTAAAGATGCCAAGAATGAAGGATTAATCGCCAGATTTAAGAAAAGTAGTCAAAGTCAAGTATTGGATTTATATGGAAGACTTCATTTCAATTTTATTAAACAACCTAAATTACTGATAAACGACATATATGTTCAGATAAAATTGGAACGTTCAAAAGACACTTTTGCTTTAATGGCAAATAGTGATAATTATCAGATTCAATTAAAGAATATTGTGTTAAAAGTAAACAAAATAGAAGTTAGTCCTAGCATATTAATTGGAATGGAAAACGCATTAGAAAATTCTGTAATTAAAATGCCTTATCGATGAGTCAATATTAAAGTCTTTACACTACGTAAAGGTATTTTGAGTTCAAATATTTCAAATGCAATAATCGGTCAAATCCCAAAAAGAATTATAATCAGATTAGTATGTAATAATGCATTTAACGGACAGATTGATTTAAATCCTTTCAATTTTGAAAATTTCAATTTAAGTTATATTTCTGTTATAAAGGATTCGATTTTAATTTCTCCTAATCTTTATACTCCTGATTTCGATGAAAAAAGCTACGCTCAAAGTTATGCAACATTATTCGAAAAGATGGGGGAATTCCCTATGGAAAATACGCTAATATATCATATTCCGACTACGTGCAAGGATACATGTTTCACGTGTTTGATTTAACTCCGGATAAGGCAGCATCTGAGAATCACACGAGCGTATTAACACAAGGAAACGTTTCTATAGATTTAAAGTTCAAAAGATCTTTACCAGAGACAGTTAACATTGTGTGCTTTTTAAAGTATCATAATACAATAGAAATCGATCGATCTCGGAATATTTACATCGACTACTAAATGATGGATATGCTTACTCTATGGAAACTAGCATTAGGAGATGCTGAAATTAGCAAGACATTTGGAGGCATCTATCCGTCAGATTTGTTACCCGAATAAATTGGAAAGAAGAAAAGATTTATAGTTAATACCGATAACAGTCTAAAGCTGGGACAACATTGGATAGCGATATATTTTCAAGATTTGATGTGTTTTTACTTCGACTTGTACGGATTACCTCCTAAAAACTGATCAATTATAAAATTTATTCGTCGGAATTCGAATCATTTACACCGGAACCAATTGAGTTTGCGAGGACTGTATAGTTTTATGTGCGGATACTTTTGTCTATATTTTCTCTATAAAATATCGAGAAATCAAGATATGCAAATATTACAACCTACTACTAAATTATTCAACGATACTTTTGTAATGAGATTTATATATAATAATTTCATTTGGGTAAATTACCATCTAATATAAAAATTAAATGTAATCAATGTAGCAATAGTTTACTCAAATAAAAGTCTATTTTTAAAAAAACTAAAAAGTATTTTGCTGGAACCAATTGAATTTGCAAGGACCGTATAGTCATACGTGCGGATTCTTTTGACTATATTTTATCTATAAAATATCGAGAAATCAAGATATGCGAATATTACAACCTACTACTAAATTATTCAACGATACTTTTGTAATGAGATTTATATATAATAATTTCATTTGGGTAAATTACCATCTAATATAAAAATTAAATGTAATCAATGTAGCAATAGTTTACTCAAATAAAAGTCTATTTTTAAAAAAACTAAAAAGTATTTTTATTGAACCTGGAAAAAAACTAATATTAAATTTAACCGCACATATCCGAAAACCATAGAAATATTTTTACTCACCATTTTTTTCTTTAATCTAACAGTTCTACCATGTCCATTTCTAAAAAATATTAAATCATTTAAGAAAAATTAAACAAATATATTTAAAATTTATAAATTTTTTGAAAAAAGATCCTTACCATCTAGAAATAAAACAAGGGTTTCCCTTTTATAATGAATTACGCTCCAATTTTCTTCACTTTTTCGCATTAGTGCGAGTGTTTCGGTAATTAATTTTTGTTTGTTTTTAAAGGTCTTACCCCCAAAAAAGTTCATAGCGTTTATATTCATAAATTTCTAATTTTGTATAAATACGTTGGTTTAGAGGGGAGAGACCAATATATTTGAATACGTTGTTTATACTTTCATTCATCCAGTAAGGATGCGGATAATCTAGAAATTAATAAGTTTTTTAAAGCTAAATAAAACAGATATTATATATTTAAAAAATAATTTTTAGTAAAATATAAAAAAATAAATACCTTTTTCTTTTAACTTTATCCATTTTCCGTCTTCAGTTTAATAACGGAATTTCTTTTCATTCCCTAAATTTTCAGGGATTATTACAGGAAACCATTTTTCATCGATTAATTTTATTCCGTGTTAATATGTTCCCCTCATTATTAAAAAGTAATGTTTGAAGGTTTTCACCTGGAGCATGGAGTTCATTTTAATATAGATATAAGGACAAAGAAGAAATAAAAGTATTTATATTGTATGATTTTTTAGGCCAATGATTTTTTTTAAATCTCCCTTAAGATTACTTTTTCCAGCTAAATGTTTTTTCCTTCNTAATTTTTAAAAAATTTATAGAATACTTTCTTTTAAACAAGCGCTTTACTTAAAACCATATATATTTTTTTAATAATGAAAAACGAAAACTTAGCAAAAGTCAATTCGACAAAAACTTTTAAATTAATGAACAATAGCTTCTATAGTAAAGGTGCGTAAAAAAATTAATTTAAAAGCTGGATTGAATAAAGACGAATGTAAAAAATATCTAAACGATCCTGCGCTAGAGAGTTTCTAAATAATCAACGAAGACTGTAGTGTTTTTAGATTAAAGAGAACAAATTTATTGCTCGATAAACCATTATACATAGGTTTTTGTATTGTAGAGTCGAGTACACTACATATGTAACAAATATATAACGAAGTATTTAAAAATTATTATAAAGATAGGATTAAACTTTTGTATACAGATACCAATTCTTTATTTTTAGAAATTTACACAAACGATATTTACGACAATTTTAAACACAATCTTCCAAACATATTTGATTTTAGTAATTATCCTCTAGACCAGTGTTTCTCAACCTCTAATGAATCGTCGCCCCCCTTCAATGAAACCATTATGTAGTATCATCCCCTTCACTTCAAAATTCCGATGCCGAGGGACAAGGCTAATGCCAAATTCGTACTGCATTGAACAGACTAGTGACTAGTATAATGTTATTTGTTTAATTATTGTACGATGTAACAAATAAAATATCTAATTATTCTTAATATAATGTTTTACTATATCNCCTTGATGCATTTAATGCGTCTTATTTTATTGTTTTTTTCTTTAATACATTCTCATATTTTTTAATGTATCTTATTTTATTGTCTCGGATCTTCAAGGTTTTTGTTTATCTCATTAATTAAATGCTAAATTCACATTCGTTTTTACTATAATTATTAATGCAAGAGAAAATTCACATCCGTTTTTTTTCTTATTGCTATTAAATATTAACGTCGTCAAAGGGTAAAACCTTATTATCAAAGTATATAAAAGCGAGCGAAATAGACAAATAGATTCACTAGTTTATCAACTCTCTCTCTCTCTCTCCAACTAAATAAGAAAAGATGTCTATGGAAGGTAAGTTAGATTTTTTTTATTTAGATTTGATTTTTAAATAAGAAAATTAAATTATTATTTTTTNATATTAGAAACATCTTATAACAGAGTGATTTATTCCAGAAATGCTCGTTCAAATCGTGCAGAAAAGTATAACCGAAGGGGCATCGAAAATGGGTGTGGTTTCGACTCCTATGAGAGTTTATGGGATAGTAATTATCTCAGAATCTCCCAAGCGATTTTAAAATTATGCCAGATTTTAGCCCCTGCTCGATGTCTTTCCCTCAAAACGATGAGAGTTTCTGGGATAAAAGTTAAAAACCTTTAAAAGTTTAACAAATTATCCCAGAGTCTCTCATATATATACTACTGACAAATAATACTCACAATGAATTTAAAATCTAATTTATATAAAACATGTTATTTAAAATAATTTTAANGAATAAAATATCTAATTATTCTTAATATAATGTTTTACTATATCACCCAGAAAATTGTTTTTTGCTCCCCAAAATATAAATTGTTACAAATCACCCTCTCAACATGGAAAAACGCCCACATGGGGGCGATATCGCCCCTGATGAGAAACATTGCTCTAGATCATCCATTATACAGTGAAGAAAATAAAAACATTAGGATTTTTCAAAGATGAAGCAAAGTCGTTAGCAATATCAGAATTTGTAGGTTTAAAAGCTAAAATGTATTCGATTTCTGGACAGCGTTATGAGAAAAAAATGGCAAAAGGTATAAATAAATCAGTTGTTAAATCAACTTTTTATCACAAGCTATATAAAACTACTCTATTTAAAAAAACAACAACTTCGTCATAACCAAACTCAAATAGTTAGTAAAAATCACGTGATCATGACTCAATTTCAAAATAAAATATCTCTTTCCACTTTTTACGATAACAAATACATTTTAAGTAACAGAATAGATACTTTATCTTATGGTCATTACTCTATTTCTTCATAGACATTTTTTCAATCCATTTTTTAATACTTTAATATTATTGTATTTTATTTTGTATTAATTTTATATATTATTGTATTCATTATTTTAAAATTCTTAAATGAAAATGTAATATTTTTAAATATTATTATTGTAATCGTTTATTATTATTGTAACCGTTTTTTATCTCCAATAAAAGAGAGAGAGAGAGAGTTGTTGTTGTCATTTATTTAATCACCATCGCGACATAAAAAAAAACTAGGGAGTACTAAACACAATAAATGCCGTAAAAAAAATCAATAAATAACGAAATAGCAAATAGCATGATCCGATTAGTGACAGTACATGTTATTTGTTATTTCTTTTAACATCTAATTTCGAAGGAAAAAAATATATTAAAATTTAAAAAACAAATGTTATTTAATATATTTGTTCCCAGATGGCACCGCAATGATCACTTGCATTTTAAAAAAATGTTACTTCTGTAATCACTTGTATAAAAAAAATAAATATTAGTTCTCTTATCTGAACAAAATTTAAAACATATAGAACAATTTTAAAAAATGTTTGCAATTATAATTAAAATATCAGNATTTGAATAAATGAAAGTCTACGCGTAAGTAAATTCTTACAATTTTTTAATATAATGTTTTTAAAAACAATCTTCCAAGCATATTTGATTTTAGTAATTATCCTCTAGACCAGCGGTTCCCAACCTTTTTTAGTGTACCCCCTGTGGCATTTCCAACTTCCCAACCAGCAACGCATGCACAAATCTCACACTGCCTGTTTGTAGAGAGTGTTGCCACTTTGAATTTTATTTTGACTCGGTTCTCGCTCCCGAGTACCTACAAGTCTGTTCTTTTTTATGCGCGCATGATTTTACCTAATACTCTGTACCAAATTGCAACTTCTGACATGTACTCCTTCATACCTCTAACCCCTGTATTCACCAACGCGAGTTAAACAGAGAGTTGACAAACTTGAGTTTAGATGTAACTCGAAGTCAGATTACGAGTTACTCTTCTTTCATATTCAGATAAACTCTAGAGTTTCGCTACTCTAGAGTTAATGTTTTAAAACAATCCTGCATTCGAGATTAAACAAGTCTTCTTTCATAAGCAGAATCTTGATTAGTTGAAAGCAAACACGTGTAGAAAATGGCAGAAAGTGAAATGGAAAATAGTGCATGCCGAACTGAAATGTTCCCGTGGCATATAAATGTAAAACCAATAACAGTTGTTCCATCGGCGACATTGGATAATTTTTCCATGATGTAGAACCTAAATTGTGACCAATTCATTCTAGTATGTTTCTTACACTCTCTTTTGGCAAACAATATCAACATTGAGTCATAATCTTCCAATTGTTCAAGGTCATTTCTTCTTGGAGAAATAATCCACCGACTTCTTTGTTCCATACGATCTATATAATATAGAATATTTCAGATTTTCTAGCATCTTGGCTTCGCCCTAGTTGAATGTTGCAATTTTTCTTTGAAATAGATTGCTTTGCGCAAGCACAAAACCTAGAGTTATCGTCTACTCACCGATTTTCTAGAGTTAGAGTTATTGTGTTTGACTCGTAATTCGGAGTTGGTGAATACCAATTTACCAATAACTCGAGAGTTAACCAAACTCTAAGTTGTGTTGGTGAATACGGGGTAAGCTGGTAACACAGTAGGCAGTACAATTTTATAAACAAGACATAGTCTTGTCAATAAAAAAATTAATAAAAATGCTGAATAAATAATGAAAAAAAATTACTGTTTGTAGAGAAAATCTGGAGAAACTAGCTATGCCCTTTTCCTTCCTACAGTAACAATAAAAAATACTTTTTATAAACAAAGAAAAAATACTTTTTTCAAACAACACATGGGGATATATTTGAGAGATAATAATAATAATGGTAACATACCCCACCATCAAAAATCTGCAGCATAATCACTAATCACACATAATGGTATCCCCACTATTGTACCATTGACCAACTGCGCAACATTTATTGATCAACAGATGAATAAATGTTGCAATTGTTGCATTGTGCAATCAGCAGCATAAGTTTTTATTTCTATTTTTGCATTTTGAAATGTATAATAAAGTTTGTGATTATTGCAAGGAACATTTTTTACCTAATAATTTTTTAATACTATTAATTTGTGATACATAATATATTATTTTTTGCCATAATAACTAACGTCTTTCTATACTCCTAAACAACTTATTGTGTACCCCAGGTTGGAAATCGCTGCTCTAGACCATCCATTATACAGCAAAGAAAATAAAAAACGAATTAGGTTGTTTTGAAGATGAGGCAAAATCGTTAGCGATATCGGAATTTGTAGGTTTAATAAAAGCTAAAATGTATTAGATTTCTGGAGTGTGCTACGAGAAAAAAATGGCAAAAAGCATAAATAAATCAGTTGTTAAAACAACTTTTCATCACGAGCTTTATAAATCTACTCTATTTGAAAATCGACAATATCGCCACAACCAAACTCAGATTATAAGTAAAAATCATGTAATCACAACCCAATTTCAAAATAAAATTTCTCTTTCACCATTTTATGATAAATATATTTTAAGTAATGGAACAGATACTCTATGGTCATTATTCTATTTCTTCATAGACATTTTTCAATGCATTTTGTTTATTTTTAATACTTTTTATATATTATCATTTCACAATTATTAAATGAAATGTAATTAAACATT